AGCGGGATACCAACCCCCAAAACTTCAACAATTCGACGGAAAGGGGAACCCCAAGCAACATATTTCTCATTTCATCGAAACTTGCAACAATGCGGGGACTAACGCCGATCTCTTGGTGAAACAATTCGTAAGATCACTCAAGGGAAATGCTTTCGATTGGTACGTCGATTTGGAACCCGAATCCATCAACAGTTGGGAGATGGAACATGAATTCTTGAATCGCTTCTACAGCACGCGTCGTACTGTGAGTATGATCGAGCTTACTAATGCGAAGCAGTGGAAAGATGAAACGGTTTTGGATTACATCAACCGTTGGCATGCACTAAGTCTAAATTGCAAGGATAAGCTATCAGAAGTGTCGGCAATTGAGATGTGTATCCAAGGGATGCATTGGGGGCTTCTCTACATCTTACAGGGGATTAAGCCTCGAAATTTTGAAGAATTGGCTACGCGTGCCCATGATATGGAGTTGAGTATCGCGAACCATAAGAGTGCACTCCCGCTAGATGGTCAAAAAAAGGAAAGAAAGGATTTTAAGAGAAACAAAAAATTCTCTAAAACTTCTACCAATGAGTCAATGGCCATAAAAGTAGTGGGTTTGAAAATTCCTTCGAAGAACGAAGATGACAAAACCGGTGAACATCGAATATCAAACGACAGACGTCGACCCACGTTGAAGGAAATGCAAGAGAAAGAATACCCTTTTCCGGAATCGGACGTCTCCCATATCTTTGATGAGCTGTTGGCGAGGAAATTGATTTACTTGCCGGAACCAAAACGGCCCGAAGAAGTAGGAATGATGGATGACCCAAAGTATTGCAAATATCATCGAGTTGTTGGCCATCCCATAGAAAAATGCTTCGTGGTCAAAGAGAAGATAATGAGACTCGCGAGAGATGGCAAAATAATGCTAGATACTGAAGATGTTGCCAACTCGAATGTTACAAGTGTCACTTCACTCTCAAGCGACACATATCCTGCATGGAACACCAAAAAATGCCCGCCCGCACCTGCGAAGAAAGTGTCTGCATTTCAATTTGGGAGTTTGGAACCACAATTGGTAAGGGCTTTATTTCACGAGGAGGAAGTCATAGACGATGAAAACCCCATTTCTGTTATTGAAGATGAGGGAGAATGGATTCTAGTGACACGTCGGTAGAGACAAAGGGGGCGTGTTGACAAACTTCATGTAATGCCATCACGAAACCCACAGTCAATAAAATACATTCACCGTGCCAAATCTAACAAAGACTCAAAGGTGAGTGATGATGCTTCAAGAAAATCTTACGGAAGTTCGGTTCCCAAGCACGTGACTTTGAAAGAGTTCTTTCCGAAAGAGTTTTTCCTGCAAAAAGTTGAAAGAGCATACGTTAATTCGGATGAGAGCGACAATCAACATTATATTCCTTGTTGTGCTGCTATGACTTTGACGGACGATGACTTGTTGTTGGGATCTAAACCTCACAATCGTCCGCTCTTTGTTTCGGGATTCATACACGAGCAAAAAATTAACCGTATACTCGTAGATGGAGGGTCAGCTGTCAATATCTTACCAAAATCCACCATGAGATAGTTGGGGATTGCTACCGAAGATTTGTCTCGCAGCCGCCTTACTATTCAAGGATTTAACCAAGAAGGCCAAAGAGCTATTGGGATGGTTCGTATAGACCTCACAATTGAAGAGCTAGCGACAAGTACACTATTCCATGTGATTGATGCAAGAACCTCTTATCACTTGTTATTAGGAAGGCCATGGCTTCATGAAAATGGAATTGTCCCGTCTACCCTTCATCAATGCTTCAAATACCTGAGGAATGGAGAAATGATGAAGGTCGATGCTAATGCGAAGCCCTTTACCGAGGCGGAATCACACTTTGCGGATGCCAAATTGTATCTAGAGTCAATCCTGAAGTGCGAAACGGTGATTTCAAAGACGCCGATATGCCGGCCTATTAATGAGAGTCATTTGGAACTCGTACCGACGAAGATCGGTTGTACAGAGGACGAGAAGGTGGCCGCTTCAGTTGAAGCTCCGATGAGCAAAGATGACGGAGCTGTGAGGAAGTTGAGTTTGCCAGTGTTTCGTTGCGCTCCCCGGTCACGCCGAGGAAGCCAAATTTTGTTCATTGAGTGCACCACATTATTAGAGGATGGACAAGAACGACCGAAGGAGCAAGAGCCAAGCCATTGCCACCTCATTAGGGAAGATTTAATCATGCCTATTATCGGCTTAAGTCCATTAGCGCATGAGCAGACGCATGATGTTGTACCCCAGTCTCAATGGCCTAGGGATGTGTATGATCCAAAATCATATAATTTATTAGCTAAGTCTGGTTACAACTTCTCTAATCCATCTCGGCTCGGCGAACTAAAACCTGAGTTGACGGGCAAAAAGATTCATGGGTTAAATGAAACACAAAGGACATTAAGAAGACAAGGTTTTCGTGTTAATCAACCCAGATTCGGTTTGGGATTCACACCCATCGAGCCAGTTAGAATACGCGTTTCAAGGAAAGGAGAGTGCGCCAACGTCTATCATATCACTATAAAGGGTGTTGGAAATCAAAAGAAAAATAGCGGTCGCATTTCCGCTTTTGATCGAATTGGGGCTCCTACCACCCAATCTTCTATCTTTAAAATACTCGACACTCATGTTGCGCGACCCTTGGTCTTTGAAAGGCTTGGTCCTTCTAATAATGTCTCGAGTGTTCACGATAGAATTTCTACAGATACTCATTCAATGTTCTCACGACTAGGAAATCACAATAGGAACCAACACGGGAAAAGAGTGCGAGAGGATGAGATAGATGTGTTTGAATCAACGGGTGAAGCTCAAGCTCATCAAATGCTTCAATCACGCCAAAGGGACCAACCACTCTTAGTTATTGCCATGAATGGATCAGTGAAGGTGAAACAACGTGTTACCAGCCATCATGCCTCTAAAGAGAACGGAAATCGAAGCGAAGACGAAGTCGAAATTGTCGTCAGCAGTCATTATGCAAGTATTGTTGATGATCAAGAGGAAGTTTCGGAAGATGAAATACAAGAGGCCCCTGTACAACTGGAGGATGGAGGGCAAACTACTGTTGATGAGTTAAAGGAACTGAACCTGGGCACATTAGATGACCCCCGCCCAATATTCGTGAGTGCAATTTTGAGTCCTGAAGAGGAGGGACAATATCTTGAGATATTAGGCGAATACAAAGATGTGTTTGCTTGGACGTAGAAAGAAATGCCCGGGCTGGATCCCAAAATCGCAATCCATCACTTTGGTATAAGAAATGGAGCGCGCCCCGTAAAACAATCGCAACGTGTACTTCGTTCCGAGTTAATTCCTCGAATTGAAACCGAAGTCAACAAGCTCATAGATGTTGGATTCATCAGGGAGGTCAAATATCCAACTTGGATCTCTAGCATTGTACCAGTCAAGAAGAAGAATGGTAAAATACACATTTGCGTTGATTTTCGGGACTTGAACAAGGCTTGTCCTAAGGATGATTTCCCCTTACCTATCATCGAGCTCATGGTTGATGCGACGACCGGACATGAAGCATTATATTTTATGGATGGCTCTTCCGGCTACAATCAAATTAGAATGGCTCCGGAAGATGAAGAATAAATTAGAATGGCTCCGGAAGATGAAGAATACACGGCATTTCGCACGCCAAAGGGAATTTACTGCTACAAAGTAATGCCCTTTGGACTAAAGAATGCAGGCGCTACCTACCAGCGTGCCATACAAAACATCTTTGACGACATGCTGCACAAAAGAGTGGAGTGTTATGTCGATGACCTCGTTGTCAAAACAAAGAAGAGAGATGACCATTTGAGGGACCTTCGGATTGTATTCGAGCGCTTGAGAAAATACAACTTAAAGATGAATCCTCTCAAGTGTGCTTTTGGTGTCTCTTCCGGCAAGTTTCTTGGCTTCATAGTCCGTCATCGTGGTATAGAGGTTGACCCCTCTAAGATAGACGCTATTCAAAAGATGTCTGCGCCTAGAAATTTGAAAGGGTTGAGAAGTTTACAAGGGAATCTCGCATTCATAAGAAGGTTTATATCAAATATCGCTGGGAGATGTCAACCATTCAATCAGCTCATGAAGAAAGACACACCTTTCGAATGGGATGAAGGATGTCAAAATGCTTTTGAAAACATAAAGAAGTACTTATTAAATCCGCCCGTCTTAGGGGCTCCTATACCCGAAAAGCCACTCATATTATACATAGCAGCTCAAGAAAGGTCCGTCGGTGCTCTTATGGCGCAAGAAAATGAAAGTGGCAAAGAATGTGCCTTGTACTACTTGAGTAGAACTCTAACGGAGAATGAATTGAGATACTCCCCGGTGGAGAAAATTTGCTTGGCACTATTCTATGCGATTAAGAAATTGAGGCATTACTTCGAAGCGTACTCCATATGACTCATTTCATGTGCCGATCCAGTCAAATTTGTGATGTCAAAGCAGTGTTATCTGGAAGATTAGCAAAGTGGTCTATCATGTTCAATCAATACGATATCACGTATGTGCCTCAAAAATCTGTTAAAGGGCAGGCACTAGCTAATTTTCTAGTCGACCACCCTATTCCGGCAGAGTGGGAGTTATCCGATGACCTTCCTGATGAAGATATTTTCTTTACCGAAGTTCTTCCGGCATGGGAAATGTTCTTTGATGGGGCCGCACGGTCTAATGGATCGGGGGCATGAGTTGTTTTTGTGTCACCCGAGAAACAAGTTTTGACATACTCGGTGGTACTGGGCGAGCTCTGCTCCAATAATGTGGCCGAGTATCAAGCTTTGATCATTGGTCTTGAAATGGCTTTAGAAATGAATATTACAGAGATTGAAGTTTATGGTGACTCAAAATTGGTTATCAACCAACTTTTGAAAGTATACGAGGTTAGGAAAGAAGACCTTATTCCTTTCTGTCAACACGCTTCGGACTTGATAGCGAAGTTTGAAAAGGTCGTGTTAAATCACATTCCGAGGAAAGAAAAAATAGGATGGCCGATGCGCTAGCTAATCTAGCAACCATTTTAGCTTTGTCGGAAGGAGAGACAATAAGTGTTCCCGTGTGTAATCGTTGGATTGTCCCATCATTCGTTGAAGTTAGTCATGAAGACGCTAACGCTACATCAATTTCAATCAATGATGATCAAGATTGGAGAATACCATTGATCAATTACTTGAGAAATGGAGAATTACCCAGCGAAGTTCGTCATAAGATGGAAGTAAGAAAAAGGGCGCCTCGTTTCATCCTTTACAAGGATACGCTTTATCGTCGGTCTTTTGAAGGCAATTACCAGCGTTGTTTGTACGGTGAAGAGACAGCTGAAGCAATGAAGGAAGCACATTCCGGGTTTGTGGTGCTCATCAGTCCGGTCCGAAGCTACACTTTCAAATTAAAAGAATGGGCTATTATTGGCCTACGATGGTCAAAGATTGTTTGGATTATGCAAGGAGATGTGAGGCTTGTTAACTACACGCGAACTTCATACACCAACCTCCGGAGGCCTTACATCCTACAGTCGCCTCATGGCCATTTGATTCGTGGGTCTTGACGTCGTGGGACCTATTTCTCCTAAGTCGTCCGGAGGTCACGCTTATATACTGACAGCTACTAACTACTTCTCCAAATGGGCGGAGGCTGTTTCTTTGAAGAAAGTGAAGAAGGAAACAGTGGTCGAGTTTATTCGTTCCCATCTTATCTTTAGGCATGGAATACCTCGATACATCATTACCGATAATGGAAAACCATTTTACAACAAGTTGATGGATAAGTTATGTGTGCAATTTGGGTTTAAGCAACACAACTCCTCAATGTATAATGCGGCTGCGAATGGTCTAGCAGAGGCGTTCAACAAAACTTTGTGCAATCTTTTGAAGAAAGTGGTCTCAAAGTCAAAGAAAGATTGGCACGAGAGGGTCGGGGAAGCTTTATGGGCATATAGGACGACGTATCGGACTGCCACTCAAGCCACTCCGTATTCTTTGGTATATGGGGTAGAAGCTATCCTCCCACTTGAAAGTCAAATACCTTCGCTTCGTATTGCTATACAAGAAGGACTAACCGCCGAAGATAATGCTCGTCTTAGACTTTAGGAGCTACAGGCGCTCTATGAGAAGAGATTAGAAGCTCAGCAACAACTGGAATGCTATCAAGCCCGCATGTCTAAAGCATTCAATAAAAAGGTCCGCCCTCGATCATTTCAAGTTGGAGATTTGGTTCTGGCAGTAAGAAGGCCAATTACCCTCACCCATCGAATGGGGAAAAAATTCGCGTCGAAATGGGACGGCCCCTATGTAGTGAAGCAGGCTTACACAAGCGGCGCTTACAAGTTGGTGGACAATGATGGATTACGAATTGGCCCCATAAATGGCAAATTCTTGAAGCGTTACTACCCTTGAAGAAACATCTACCTTCGAGGAAAAGAACATGGTGAATTGATGTTGCATGTTCGCTTGAACTACGTCATGACTTGATCCCTTTGAGGAGGGTACGTAGCAGCTTAGAGCCATATTCTAAGTTCAGTCAAACCAAAAAAAAAAAAAAAAATTGTTCTAAGTTGTTCGCTTGAACTACGTCATGACTTGATCCCTTTGAGGAGGGTACGTAGGCAGCTTAGACCCATGTTCTAAGTTCAATCAAACCAAAAAAAAAAAATTGTTCTAAGTTGTTCGCTTGAACTACGTCATGACTTGATCCCTTTGAGGAGGGTACGTAGGCAGCTTAGACCCATATTCTAAGTTCAGTCAAACCAAAAAAAAAAAGAAGTTTTAAGTTGTTTGCTTGAACTACGTCATGACTTGATCCCTTTGAGGAGGGTACTAGGCAGCTTAGACCCATATTCTAAGTTCAGTCAAACAAAAAAAAAAAGTTATTTTAAGTTGTTTGCTTGAACTACGTTATGACTTGATCCCTTTGAGGAGGGTACGTAGGCGGCTTAGACCCATATTTTAAGTTCAGTCAAACCAAAAAAAAAATGTTCGTTGTAACTGCGTTTATTCTAAGCAAGTTTGGTTATTTTTTTTTTAAGTTAACCAATTTGTAAGATCGGACGGATCCAAAACTGTACACGATGTAATCATCCAAAGTTATCATTTGCTACATAATGATGAAAGAGGGATGCCAAGACGATAATAAGGCCTTATGAGAAGCAGGAGAAAATTCTATTGCATAAAAAAAGATGGGATGTTCTTTTACGTCGAAAGATAGTAAAACGACATGAGCAAAAAAAAAAAAAAAAACTTAAGCGAACAAATTAAAAGTTTCTAACTCCCGTCGAGATTCTTCAAGTAGTGCTTCCATCTTCTCCAAAGCTTCCACCTCATGGTTAGATAAGAATGGTGTATTCCCAAGACGAGAAATATTCTCTCTTTTCATAGCCACAACCTGCTGCATCTTGGCCAAATCTTCTTCGACCTTGCCAAGGGATGAACTTGTTGATTCTTTCTTGTTGCTCAGCTCTTCTAGTTGGTTGGTGATTTCAAGACTTTCAGCCTTCACGTTGTTCACCGTCTCGACGAGCTCACTCACTTGCAGTTCAGCCTCGGAAAGATCTCGTTGTGCAAGCAAAAGAGACTTCTCGTGCATCTCTTGTGTCTCTCTCTGCATTAAATCCGATTTGACCTTTGTGTACTGCGAAACATCTTCAAAATATGACTTCAAGCGCTTCTCCAATGGTGATATGTCTTTCATGTAAGCTTGCATGTCTTTGAGCACTTTCTCGATCGCTGGCTTTGCCTCGGAATGTTGTTGAAATGAAGTATTCATGATCTTTTGGGAAATCCTTTGCCAATAGAAATTCAAAAGTAATCTTTCGACTTCACTTTTGATGATCTGAGGAGAAAACTCGGAGACCTCAACATATGCCTTCTCGATTGCGGGAACATGCGAAACTGTCTTTTGTTGTTCAGTAAAAATCCTCTCCACTGCAAGAGAAGTTATTTTTTGTCGTTTGTTTTGAGGACGCGAGGTGGCACCCGTTTCATGTAAACCCAAAAAGTTGGCCTCGTTTACTGACCCCAAACTAACCTGAAAAGTAAGACGGACACCCTCTTCGAAATCGGGAAGCTAAAAAAAAAAAAAAATGAGAAAAAAAATATATATATAATAATAAAAAAATGAATAAAGAAAAATACGATGATTTATTTTACTCATCCATCTAAAGGCAATGAAGAACTGGGCACGCCCTCAAAAAATGAGGAATTTGCAATGGCTAAGTCAAAAACCTTGGATGTCTCTTTCGATGGACATTGGTTGCTAGACTCGTCCTTCGAAGGTAAAAGCGCGGAAATGATCTCATTCCCTTCACCACGAGCAGCTTCGAATGCGGGATCAGAGGCCACGTTATCAAGAGGAATACGCCGCTTCCTAGTGGAAGTCTCTGCAACTTGCGCGATGTTTCCCTTTCCGATAGATGAAGAAACATAAGGTTCTTTGGGGTCTTTCGCTGAAGCTCTTTGAATAGTGCGACCAAGTTTGAGTGATAACTTAGTGTTTGCTTCTAAAGAATTTTTCCAACTTTTGGCCCACCATTCTGTAAATTCTTTTGTAACCAAAGGAAAGGAAGATGTGTCACTTGGCATAATAAGCTTGGAGGATGTGCCCAATAAAGTGCAAGATTTCCAAAATCGGATGAGTTCGTGCAACTCACAAGTCAATATCTCTTTCTTTAAGTCACCCGGAATGCTTTGGCAAAAACCATGTTGGCGGCTGAATCTATGAGGACTGTACGCTTCAATGATGTGTTCTGCTTCACAACGGAATGTCAAATAGCTGGATCACAAAGCCACAATAATATCTTTGCATTTGCTGGAGAGTTTGGCATCGTCTATGACTAAAGTTTCTTCCTTGGAATACCACAAGTCTCGAAGCTTTGACATATTGATATTATGAAACAAGTCGCGTGCCTCATCGAGATCAAAATGTTTAGCCATGTTCTCTCCCACATATTTCACCATATGAGCGCCGATTATCTCGAGTTTTGAATGAAAGTGAGTCTCGAGAGTATGTCCTATCCATGCATAGAGATAGTGAATGGGAAAGATAATAGGAGACTCGCCTAAATTCTCCGATGTAGATATTCCCCTTAAGCCGGGGTAGATGCTTGCTAGTACAGGAACTGCCAACGAAAACTATTCTCCTCTAGCCATTCGACTTGAAACCTTACAAACAGAGGCGCGTATCTTATCAATTGATCCATGAGGGAGAGCAAAACTACAAAGCCAACATGCAATAAACGCGGCCAAGTAAGTTTCTTCTTTAATATCTTCCTCGATTTTGAGCGTTGCAAACGGTATGTCGTATTCCTTGGGGCGAGATAACTTTGACGCGTTGACCTTTCCACAAGGATTACGAGAAAGTTTTGGCTTAAAAGTCCTCTTTCTTGATAACCTTAAAGGAGGCTCGTTATATCTGGTTGGTCCTTTGAACCAAAAGTCAATCCAATTAGAGAGTAGTACGCCACTGGAATCCTTTGAAAGTCTGTGGTACGCCATGAATAAGTATTTGCAACTACGAGGTAATGAAGTTCCACGGGAGTCATTATTGAGGAACTCTTTCGGTGAAGGAACCACTTCGTCGTAGAAATCTCCGTGAACGGGGCAGCCCGCATAGTCCGCGTATGTCCCATAGGGAGATCGATAATTCTCCATCAGCCGTATGCAACGTGTTCGTAGAAGGGCACCACAGTTCAAGGAAAGCTCGAAGAATCTTTTTGTTGCAGACGTACGTGAATAGTGAGGCATGAATGGCTGCATATATCTTGGCTTGGCGAAGGGTGTCCGCATAATGGCCTAGCACGTCTTCCGTCCACTCCCAACAGCCGACGTGAAAGGACACCTCTCCGAAGTTGGATGGTGGGATCTTCCACGAGCCACCCTTGAATGAGAAAGGACGATGTGGGAGTATAAAATCCACGGGTTTAGCCTTTTCGTCGTGAAGCGAGGACCTGAGCAGCAAAACTCGGGAGCGGGAAGAAGAGCCGGAACGAGAGTCAATTGTTTCCCTAGTAGCCTTCTCGGACCAATTGGAGAGGTGCATGGATTTTTCGATAGATCATGACTGGGAAGATGAGCAGTTTGAAGCCGGTTCATGAACGCGCAAGGTTGTACCTTTGATTTTGAAGTTGTCCTTATCATTGCGAATAACGATGCATGGGAAAGGTTCGTCTCGATCTTCGATGTACATCTCCACGAATTCCCTAAAGATTATAAAAAAAATGATCATGGGTTCCAATTAAAAAAAAAAAATACAAAAAAAAAATATAAAAAAAAAAATATACAAAAAAAATCGTTCCCGGCAATATGCAGAAGGATAGAGGTTTAGCGGCGTCGTTATGGGCGTGGCTGCGCAAAGTGATTGTTTATGTCAATGAAGAATAAAATTTACGTTTCGATCAAGAAAACAAACTTACCAGTCGTACAACAGATAAAGAAAAGAACAGAACGAAAGAAGAAAAGAGGGGGTCTCGATGGCTGTGAAAACAAAAGGGGATTTCCAAGGCACGATATTTTCTCTGAAGACGAAATAGCAGAGCTACCCATTATATGCATGCTGCGACGAAAAGATTTGGAAATTATATCTTATTACTTGAGGAAGGGGTAAATGTTTAGAAGGAATTTTCTAAATAATGCTCAGCAGTAAAAAAATAAAAGGGGGAGAAGATATTATTGATTGCCAAAGTGGAAAATTCATAGAGATTCTTTCCTTGTGCTGCTACTTGCCTAAAGTTGGGTCTCGTCTCATGTTTGTGGTTTAATAAAAAGACCATGAGTTGTGGGTCCCATTAAAATAATAATAAATAAATAAATAAATTAAATAAAAAAAAATAAAAAAAGAAAAGAGCGCATCCAATCTTCACGTGTGTTTGGGGTGTGCTGCTAGCCAATTTTTTTCTCAAGAAATGATTGAGGTGGGCCCCGTTTATTAATTTGGTGGTCAAGTAGCATTTACTACAAGCCCAAATTTATTTGGTATGGTCATGCAAAGTTATGGACTTCCACCCTCGGGCTTCTATTCTATGAGGTACGAACCGTTTCTTCAATGAAAGCATAAACACGGTACTGAGTTCACAAAAAAAAAACAAAAATTCAAATACTTCAAGTCTCGTCTTCTACAAGCATTCAACATGTTCTCCGTCGAGTCTTAAAGTGGGGGCATTTGTTGACGTCGAAATTGGGATTAAATTACAAATTAATGGCCTAAATAATTTGGTTATTAATTTGGATCTCGATTAACAGTCCATAATAAAATTTGGGCTTTATATTGAAGTCCACGCTAAATTTGGGCTTCGCAAATATATCATATGGGTTAACCCAGAATGAATACTAAATTCTTATTCTTGGGTTAGCTATTTAGGCTCACAAAATATGGCCCACAATAAATAAGTCGCAGGTGTCCGAGTCCACCGGCCCAAGTTTCAAGTCAAGAAACCCTAAAACCGAGCCTATAAAAGTTGGTCTCAAACACATACAAGGTACACAAGCATCAAGCAAGGCGCACATCAAGCATTCAAAAGCTCTCAAGTCTCGAGCACTTGCCACGACGAAGAACAACAACCGCGGAGGTTCTGCATCTTCATCAAGGCACCATATCCACAAGACCTAGAAATCCCCAAATCGATTTCTAGATATTCATATCTACTTCCGCAAATCAACGGAGGAATCAAGCTCTCAATTCAAGAACAAGCTTTCGGCCCTTGGATTAAATCTAGGAGAAAAATCAGAGGAATCAACAAAGATTGTAACCCATTTCGTTTTGATTAAAATATATTTATTTGTTCCTATTTTTTCTTGTCTTGTAATTTATTTTGCAGACATTTAAATTTGAGGTTAACAGAAATATTCGCAAGACAAAAAAGTAGAAAATATGTCCCTCTTTTAATAAAGTGCCATTGTCGTGGGATACTTTGCAATTCGGACTTTTGTTTTGGGTGGTTGTCCACTTTCTATAGCATAAGTTTTGATGTAATAGTTAACGAATTCAGAAAATCTACAATAAAAATTTCAAAAGAAAATTAGAACGAAACTCTTTTGTGAATAAATATAAAATTTCTCTTTTCTTTAGAAAGGACAAAATCAAAAAGAGATCATTAATGTAATAACCATTAAAGTTAAGCTTTATACAAGGATTTTCATTACGTAATTACATATTACGTTATGGAAATAATTACATCCCAAGTAATCCTTTCCCCATTCGGTGTACAATCACTACCAAAAATATGGGCTTTTGTGACGGAGATTTTTGTCACTGAATTGAGGAAAATCCGTCACAAATAGGCTTTGGTGACGGAGGTGTGACGGAATTCGTCCGTGAGATAACGCCTCGTCACTAATTAAAATAGTGACGGTTTTTTTCAATCCGTCACACTTTGGTGACGGAACATTCTGTCACAAATACCTTATCGAACTCCCCTAAATTTAGTGACGGATCCCGTCATAAATAATTTTTGTATGTCATTAATCTGTCACAAGGTTCCGTCATTCATCTGTCATAAATATCATCACAAATAGTCCGTCACATGCTTCTGTAACAAATGTTCCGTCAAAATTCAGTCACAAGCAATCCGTCACACTGGTTGTCACAAATATCAGTCACTTTTCTCGTCACAATAGCACCATAATTGTTTTGTTCTCTTTATTTTACTACATTTTTTTTTTGATAAACAATCAACAAAAAATCACAAAGCATAAATATATTAAAACAAAATCACAAAGCATAAATATATTAAAACAAAATCATATCGTTTCCAATCTTTCAGAGCATCATTTGGCTAGTAGTATCTAGTGCTAAGAATCTGTTATGAATTACAAAACATAAATATCTTATTTATAGAAAACACAATCTCTTCTTAGCTCTAAACTCGTTTGTATTCCTCCTCTCTTTTCTGAATCACTGCCATCTCTTGTGCCCTCAATTTTCAGGTCACATTCCTAACACCACTCTTCTCTATCGATCTGCCTTCAATATCGACAAGCCATGGCCTTAGTATCTATCTTCCTCTCCATCACGTTCTCCTCAACCCTGATCAACAATTTCATCTTGTTTCCCATCCCCATCCACATAACTCTGTTAATTAAAAGGAGAAGTCCACAACTACAAGTAAATAACTGCATTGTATTGACATAATTAAAACGAACGTTGAAAAGTTATTAATGAATCATTTGAGATACCTGATAAGTTCGTATACTCAGAAGGTTTAATCACATACTTCAAATGTCTCCTAATACATGCGCCTCACCATGGAGAGATTATCCATCTTTTAAACAAACAAAACTGGACATGGGCGGACCGAGGGGATTTTTCTTGGGGGCTAGAATATGGGGTTGATTTAAGAGAAGACTGCATTAACTAATACATAAATAACAAAAGAAAAAAAAAGGGAAGATTGGGGGGCGGGGGCCAACCGCCAGTATACTCCTAGGTACGCCCCTGAAGGTAGAGGATCATGAGTAAGATTTTCTTGTGACTTAATAGGGCAAACTACAGTTCACCGAGATAAAAACTGGAGTCTTTCTACTATAATCTAGTTGTAAAGTACTTAAGCAACCTTGAAAATTGTATGAGTTGAAATATTTCAATACTTGGTAGGAAAATGTAGGGGTGTAAATAAGACGAGCCGGCTCGCGAGCTTTCGAAGCTTGCTCGAAAAAAGCTCGTACTCGAGCTCGAAAAATCGAGCTCGAGCTCGAGCTCACGATCCCGAGCTTTTCGACGAGTCGAGCTCGAGCTTCATTTCAGTTGTTCGACAGCTCGCGAGTAGGCTCGCGAGCTTTACCATTTCTCTATATATTTTTTTAATACATATTAATAATATATAATAATGGATATTATTAATAATAAATAAATAAAAGAATAATATTATTTTTTTAATTGAAAAAATAAATTTGATGGATGCATTTTTGGTTGTGCCGAGCTCGAGCTCGAGCTCGAGCTCGGGCTCGTTTCGTATACGAGCTCGAGCGCGAGCTCGAGCTCCTTAGAAACACAAGGAGCTCGAGCTTGAGCTAAAACTTATAGGCTCCTCGAGCTCGAGCTCGAGCTCGAGCTCACGAAATAAGGCGAGCTCGGCTCGAGCTCGGCTCGTTTACACCCCTAGGAAAATGAATATTTTTATTTCGTATTCATATTTTCCTTTGAAATTGTGTAGCATAAAGGAGTGGTATTCCAAGAGTCCGATTAATAAATTTAGCTTTGTTATTGCCAACACTCAAAATTCTTTGACCGATTGGATCAATTAGGCATTATTAATGCAACATATGTAATAATTAATTATTGTTGGCCAAATAGTAACCTAATTACTTAGGGCTCTTTTGCTTTTGTGGTAAGGATTAGTATGTTAGTATAGACTAGATAGATTTGTGGTGAAGATGATTATGTAATTTTGATATCCTCTTTTTTGCTTTTTATGAGTATATTTGTGTTGATAAATTACTCACACGTTTGTTTTGTGTGAGATGATATGATAATTGACAAATATACTAAAATTCCCTTTTTTATAAGAATAATAATAAATTGCAATATAATATTTTCATAACATAAAAATAAAAACTCGATTTCTCTACTGAAGAGAGCTTCACGAAGTTGGTCGATTTCTTTCATTTTTTTCTCATTTGATTCTGCTCCTACCTAATACATTTGAGATGAGCTCTGGGTCTAGCAACGGCGTCGGTGGAAGCGCATCTCACAAAACATTACGTGAAGACAGTTTTACCCCAAACGATTTTGGGTTATGTGGTTGCAATTTGAAGATGGGTTTGCAAACTTCTTGGTCAGATAAAAATCCTGGGCATCGATTTATCTCGTGTCCTCGAAGAGGTGTAAGTATTACGAATTTCTGTTGTTGTTGTTCAATTTTTTTCATTTTGGGGTTGCAAAGTATTAGGGTTTCGATTGGGTTCTTTTTTTGTTTACGGAATTACACATCTAACTATATTGGGGATCTTTTGACATATAACTGTTATAATTCAAATGAAGTTGTTGTTCATTTTGGTGGTAGTGTAATTTGGTATTTTAATTCATTGATGGTTTTTTTAAATGTGGATCGTTTTGTAGGTGCAAAGTTGTGACCTATTCACATGGTACGATCCTCCAATGTGTGACCGATCAAAACTGATTATTCCCGGTTTGCTGGGAAAAATCAATAGACTCGAAACTGAATTACAACTGGTAAAACAACAACTAGTAGATGCACAATTGAAGAAAGTGGTTCCAACAAGTAAGCACTCTTACTTACCTAGAATAAGGGAGACAATACTTGTTGGGTCTATAATTATATTTGTTTATTACATGTGTATGTAGTGTTGTGTACTTCGTAACTTTAATATGTGTTTTTTGTGAAATATTTTGTTCTATGACACTGGTGTGGTGAGTTTTGTGTCTATCGCTGTTTGTTGTGGTTTATGATAGCTTATAAATCACAGTATAATTTAATTTAGTTTTTTTAAAATAGGGTGCATGTATTGTATGTATGATTGTTCATCGTGTCTGTTATAAATATTGTTTGAATTTATGTTGTTCATTCGTTTTTAATAGGAAGAATGGATAAATGTCGGATTTGAAACTGGCACAAATTTGATGGCTAATTAGATATTTCACATTAGAAAATTTTGCGATCCTAGGCTTGTAGTTGTAATGGTATACTCCATTACTACATCAAACTTAAAAAAAAAAAAAAAAAAAAAAAAAAAAACATATATATAGTAGGATAACAGAAAAAAAAAACATCTTTTAACACATAGTAGATATTATATTAGACCCCACCTAATTTTACATCTCTTTCGACTCAGCAACCATATCTTCCCCAGCTTCACCAACATCTTCCCCAGCTTGACCAGATATGCCTTCCATATTTCCATTCCCAGGTCCTTTTCCTTCATGACCAGATATGCCTTCCATATTTTCATTCACAGGTTCTTTTCCATCAACAGCTTCCCCCACGCCCTTTTCTAACCCTTCATTGTCTTCCCCGTCTTCAATAACTAGTGGTTCATTTTCAGAATACCCTGTCATGCCGGTGAAGTCTATTGGAGCGGCATTTCTAATATGAAATATGATCACGCATGTGTCGTACACAGAAAACCGTTGACACGAAACCAACGTTCCTCCCATGTCTCCTGCATAAAAAATTCATTAACCACTGTTAGAAGAACACTCACCCTAAAATATAATTTATAAATACTTTCCCGAAATAAATACCTTATTCTCCTTGGAGAATATAACCATGTCGACTGCAACCTTTTTCGTGCAAGGGTTGAACTTGACTCCAGGCTTCGAAATGTACTTCAAGAACGCATAAAATCGCTTTCGAATGATATGAACACTTAGTTTCACATCTTCAAAAGTGATTTCTTGTGAAATGTAGTCACAAATCTCCTCTGTAGCGCGGAGGAGCACGCCGTTGAAAACCTCAACTGTATCTAGGTTTTCTAGTTCAATGCAATTCTCATGAATTGCATGCATCATCACCAAGTCGTAACTTAACGGCCATTCATCGGAGTTGAAAAACCCATTGATTATTTGATTTCGTGTTTTTGGCATTTGGCTTGGTTTTTATTTGTTTTTTAACTATTTTTACAACCTGCCCTAAACGTAGATGGTTATATGTTTATATAGGTAGAAAGGGGAGCATACATTTACTCTAGAAATGGTAATAGATGAGAGGTCATTCAAATATTTATTGCAATGCACTCTTCTTTACGTTTCGTAGAACTAAATGACTGCATTTTCCTTATTTTCACATCAGCCGAGAACTTGTTGTCCAATGCATGAATTAATGCTAACTGTCCGTATTCTTTATTCTTTCTGCTAAGCAAAGAAGTTTCAATAATTAATGATAGCATGTTTTTAATTGTTGGAATAAATTAAGTAGTTGGGATTTATTATTTGGAAAAGGCTTGACGTAAAATATAAGAAAAGACATTTACCAACCCATTTGTATAGATTGTTGAGAATATAAATGCACATTATGTGAATTATTTTATTAATAAAAAAAGGAAATAAAATGTATAAAGTCTGTGCTAATGTTCATTGGCTATTCAAGTCTTCAAAATATTATGGCACCGAAAAAAACAACCAATATTTCAAAGAGGAGAGTTGTTAATGCAAATAAATTGGGTTGAAGACATTGAAAATATTTTCATTGACTTCATGGTCGTTGAAGTGCAACTTGGTAGCTTTGTTTGGCCCGACAAAACAGATGGCTCTTTGTTCCTAGCACAAGACATGTTCACAACGAAGAACGAAGCACGGACTGTTTTTCTCCGAAGATTTCTTGCTAAAAAAACTCGGCCTCCTTCGTGATCGTTTTGGAAACTTCCAATGGTTATTGAAGTTAGATGGTGTGTACTATAATCCGAAAACCAACATTGTAACTGTTGCCGGTGTAATATGGGATTATATAATGAAGGTAAAGAAGAACTATATATAATCACCATCGCTATTTAATATGTGTGTAATGGAATTTTTTTTTATATCCATTGTTGTAGGAGAAGTATTCTGCATACCAATACCGTATATCCGGTGAATCAAAATGGCAAGAGTTATCGGTTCTTTTCCAAGATATTGTGGTGTACGCTCAACCTTGCCCCGACGTTGTTGTACTATCGTCCGATAGCGAGGGTGAACCGAATGAAGAAAACGTGGTGGCTGTCCCACAAGGCCCTGTTGCACAAGCTGAAAAAGGTATAATTTTTGTCGTCAATATTTCGTCTACTTCGGAAAAGAGTAAGGAATTCAACATTTCCGACTATTTGAATTACTACTCTGACTCCGAGGGTTCATCAAAAAAAATTTATAGTGACGCGAACTCTTTCAACTGTGGTGCTGCCGGGATACGGACCCACCCAACTCCGAGTCCGAAATCTGGTAACAATCGAACTTATCCAAAAAAAGCTAAGACAGCTACCTCAATTTGTTCGAATAACCCGGAGATATGAGAGGACTATTTGATAAAACCAAAATCTAATTTTCCAATCGGCATTATTTATATAATTCTAGAATGTTTCGGGTGTGTGTTGTTGTGTCCTTTTTTTCGAATTAAAAATATGTCAATGATTGTAAACACTTCTCTTTCTAAATTGTATTAATACGAGAGTCCAGTTTATTTTGGCCATTGTGTGTTCATTGGTCTATTAATCTTATTTTGTTGCTCCTACATATTTTTATTGATCTACCTTGTTTATTTGTTCTATTGATGGTGTATATGAAAAAAAAAATAGCTGGAATAATACATTTCACAACTACTACATCAAAAAATTTGAACCGTTAATCCTACAAAAAGTATTTAGTACAAACACACTACGTCCATATATCATTACATACTTCACCAAACATTACCACAAAAGTGAGCGAATAATAAGGTTTTTGAGGTTGCGCGTCGCCTATACTACATCAAAAAATGGCGATAGACACGTTGGAATAATATTTTTACGATTACTAGTAGTTCGAACAATTTTTCATTATTTTAATTTAATAACGCCCTTGAAGAATCATCGCCACCATTAGCTCCTTGTGTTCGTCGTTGACACCGAAGAAGATGTCCATGTCCTTGGTCGTTTCACATAGGACCTTCGTCACATGCAGTTTGTCCTCGCCAGACAAGTATTCGAATGAGTTAAGGGCATCGAAAACCTTTTTCCTCGATTCCGACACATTGAACTCAAAACCAACCCTTTTCACAAGGTGTCCCAATTTTTCGTCGGCTTTTTCGAAGAACTTCGCCATCATCTCAACCAATTGAAGATCTACGTCATTAGCGCGGGCCCTTTTCTTCTTCGTTTTTCGAGTGGTTTTAGGGCTAATTGCACTCTCTCCTCCGGTAGACACAAATGAAGTACCGTCACCATCAATCGATGCGTCTCCTAAAGAAACATTTCCACCACCAACACTTGTCGGTTCTTTTCCCTTCGAAGAACCAATTAAGTCATTCACAGCTTCAACGAAGGCCTCGGCATGCTCCCCAGTGGCCCGGTCTTTGCCAAATATGACAAGCCAGCCCTTGTAGTAAGGCCATGCCTTGTAGCGCATAGTACGGGCAGCTGGGTCGGTCTAAAAATGTTAACGTATTTTATAACTTAGCAAATGTCATTAAATGCATACTTTTTATAACTTATAATAACATAAATTATACCTTGACGTAGTCATTCCATGCCTCATCATCTTGCACATCAATCGTAGATGATGAGTCATTCCAGCCGATACCACTACGTGACAGCATTGAGCTTAATGAACCATAAGTTGTAACACCCTCCATGAATTTTAGTTAAAGAAGAAATATTTGAGTAGACTTCATTAAAAATTTCGAATTCAATTTGAACTTTGAGAAAACCTTATCAAATCATTTTTCTTTACTTTAAATATACCCACAACTCAAAGTTACGATTTTCATAAAGAGTGCTACCTAAACATCATCGGGGTTTAGAAAACACTTGTAAGACAGCGGAAGGAAAATAAACTTGATTTAAATACCCCCGTTTAATAGACTAGATTCCTAAATCAGAGTAAAATATAATCATGAAAATCTCCAATTTTTGTACATAAGACCTTTTGTTTACATGTGAAAGTGAAAACATGATCTTTTACGAAATCCGGGTAAGACATGCAAGGCATCAAGGTTCGTGATTCCTCGAACTCCGCTCCGCTGCGCACTCTGATTACTTCGAGAACCTGAAAAGGGGAAATTCGCATAAAGCGTGAGCCCAACCACTGGCTCAGTAAGAACATTGGCCTGACGATACTCACGCCTCTCTCAACGTGTCACTCACGCCTTATAGGATCCCTAAAGTCCTCGTCTCTATGTTCTTTCGTGTAGGGATAATCCTAAAGCTTCAACTATGTCCTCTATATTCAATTTATTCGTTTAGACCAAGACATTAGATCACATAAGTGAAAGCACATAACATCACATACAAATACAGTACTTATATTCTTCAAAATTAAGAACCACGAAGCATGAATATTATCATAAAACATAGTCGAACATATAGCTCTACATATAAACATATAATACTGTTTACCTCAATCTTGGTATATTGGACACACAGTCCTCTTTCATATTATACGAATATAAAATCCTCATATTACTTGCGGACATAAAGTCTCTTTAGTATCAATTTAACACTTCACGCATATAAATGCAATGCAACAGGATCCTTATCGGAATCCCAACGTGACAATCTAAACACGAGATAATATACGACAACACACGAGTCACAAAAGCACATTATTACACATAAGTCATAAAAGCACACTATACCCACATAATTCACTTTATTCTGCAAAATAACCAAAATGCATGTGAATGCAATGCATGTTAAAATTCATTTTTCATTTTGTCGGATCCGTGAAAGATTAATTTCTATATTCGGATAATAAACCGTTTCGAGCCCGTCTATGGATCCAATATCACTCATATCACTCGTATCACTCCTCTCAACCCTAGTTGGATACCGGCCCACCGTATCCGATTCGTTTATTACCCAAACATTCCATTAATCTTCCAATTTTCAAAACACGTGTTATGCATGGACATGAACACTTAGACCATAATCCTATTACAGTTCAAACACCACAAATATGTCAGAATAAAATAACACCAAGATTTACTAACCACATATTATCACATAGACTAATTAAATCACACATATGACACAAATACATACACGGCCTGTGACACCCCCTAGTATACGTATAGCAAACCGAGAGAGTTTGCCATGCACGGAAGCTTTTAAGGTATTATTTAAGTATATGGGTATGTGGGTACGGGGTTTAGGAGACCGATTTCATACTATTATTATTTCCTTTGAGGTTTGGAATTTGGAGATGGAGACGGCTTCGAAAAAGCGTTTCGGCGAAGTGATTTAGTGGGATGGTAGAGTATACGTCTAATTACCCAATAATTTCGTAATATAGACTTCTATGTGGTGTCACCTTGATAAAACAGAGGAAAAGAGTTAAAGTCCATCATTAAAACTACATATTAATAGGTGGACCATAGTTTAACAAAAAGGGGCCCACATTCGGAGAACTTAGTCTCCTTTACCACGGATAATAATACACATGAGCTACTATAGAAATCGTAATTGTCCTAAGGACAATGTACACAAAAGATAACACTACAAGCATTATAAGTAGATCCTCCATACGAACCAAAAACCCGGAATCGTCCTCTCGAAGCGTCGACTAGTCCAATCCGGTGGAGTGAGTAGTACTAGTACCTGCAAACGGAGAATATCTATATGAGCTAACAAAGCTCAGTAAGGTTATCGAAAGATACCAAGAATTTAAAAATATAGTCGTACTACATATACTATATAATAATAGCACAAGCGCAACAACAATTAACACAATTTACATTTCTAGTACATATAGTTCATTAACTATAGAAACATAAGAAATCTTCATTTTTATCGGATCCGATGAGAAATCAACTTCTTTACTTAGAACACGAGAAGATTATTCTGAGCCCGTTTTGGTGGAATCAAACCACCCAACTATAGTATCTATGGTTGGAATACCGGCCCCCCGTATCCTTTCTCATCTTTTCTAAGTATTTCATTAATTCCC